TAGCATTATCTATATCTTAACATTTTCAATATTGTTATTTCATTTTCAGTTCAAAATTCTTGCCCATGGAAGACTGTAATGTGTCGCCATCTGTTGGTTGTAAGTAAAAATTTCGTAGGTTTTTTTAGGGGGGACTATACAAAACGGAAATTTTTAAAAGAATATTTTTCTCGGAAGTTTTTCTATGTTTTCAAATTGTTTATTATCATTTTTGTGACACGAACTCTACTGCTAAAATAGCCTTTGACTTTTTATATTACTGTTGAAATGATATGTGTTCATGTGTGTTGCCTTCTTATCTGACAGAGAATCTAAGATCAATTTCATTTAATTTTGGGGTATTCAATAATAAGAAAATTTCTCTTCTTTGTATCATCCTTTTCACAATTATTATTTATTTTTTTTATTTCAATGATCTAAATAATCACAAGGCCAAAAAGGAAGTAAAGGAAGTTAGATTTACTATTGCATTTGTATAAATGAGGAGACACATTTCAGACGTGTGTGTGTGTATGTGTGTGTGTGTGTGTGTGTGTGTGTGTGTGTGTGTGTGTGTGTGTGTGTGTGTGTGTGTGTGTGTGTGTGTGTGTGTGTGTGTGTGTGTGTGTGTGTGTGTGTGTGTGTGTGTGTGTGTGTGTGTCTAAATGTCAGTAAGTCCGTCAGTTTGTCCGTCTGTTTGTCTGTCTGTCTATCTGTCTGTCTATAAAGTGTTTGGTGATGTTTGCATGAATAATTTCAGTTCAGTTTAATTTTACAGTTCATAGATGAATTCAATGAGGATATTAAAGTAATGCAAATTTGCCATCTAAAAATAAAGGAAAATATGAAGCAACAAGAGATGATGTGGTCAAATTCATAATTAAGTAAAAAATCTCTATCTAAGTCATGTCTACACAATACCTATCATGTAACTCCTGAAAAAAACCTTTAATGTTTTAAACAATATTTACATAAAAATCCTAATTCCTCAAAACCTAAAATAAAAGAAATCCCATAAGACATAAAATTTCAGTTCATTTTCGAACGGCATGTTTACCTTCTCTGTCACTGGGAAAAAAACTCTCGACACATTAGCAAGTCCTAAGCATATTCTTCTTAATTGGGCGTTTAATTCTCGCTAAAATGGTGTTCTTAGAAGTTTATGAGGACTTTGAGAAGGCAGCCGAGCGACTTTATCTTAATGCACCTATGAAGGTATGCGTTAAATTCGTGTAGTATGTGTTATATTCGTGTTTTTAAGGGGGGTTTTCTGTCTTGTGGTGTGTGTGTGTGTGGGGGGGGGGGGGGTCGCCTGGTTGAATGGGTTATATTTTTTTTGGTCTTAAGAATTTTGTTATGTTAGTGATATGTTTGTTTCTGAATTAGTTGTACGTCGTTATAGGGGTTTTGTAAAAGAATTACATGTGTTCTGTGGAAGTTCATGGGGTTTTTGATGCCAGGAAAAAAAAAAAAAAACTTTTCCACTATAGACTCATAAGAGAGGTTTATAAACTATTTTTTTGTATGATTTTGGGCCCTGTGGACTGTTAAACTAATCTGAACTTAAAGACGTATATGGATTGATATTCAATATAGGATAGTGCGAAAATAGAGAAATACAAAGGTGACAACATATAATTTGCATAGATTAAAGCCACAACTTTTTATAAAATAAATTCAGCAAAATTAGAATCCCGCAACAAATTTGAGTGAAGATGCCCCTGTGCTTTGTGCTAAGGCAAACTGAAACAAACCTTCACCTAATGTGTTTTGGCTAGATAATATATTAACACTATCCAAGCTCTGTATACCTTGGGGAAGTATTGACCTCGGCTTCCCTGTTCTATATAGTTACTGTTTTTAGGTACATCATCAATGTGTTTTTTTTTTTTTTTTTTTTTTTTTTTTTTTTTTTTTTTTTTTTTTTTTTTTTGTCTTATGAGCCAAATGGTTTATTCCTATTCAGTAAATGACTCTTTCTTATGTATGAATTGTATATGTTTACTCACAAGCTGAAACTTCCAGTATCAAAATGTTTATCAGGCCTCATTTGCTCTGCTTTGATATTGATGTCATAGTCATCAGTATATATTCAGTAATAGTACTGGCTGTGCTATATATAAATTCATTTGAAACTCGATTAGACTAGTGATGGATGGCTTATAATCAGAAACTGACCTGATGTTAGAGTAGCTTCAAGCCATTGCAATTGCCAGAAAACTCTTTTGTGCATGTGAGAGACCTGAGTGAGGATGTATGGGTATCCTCTAAACATTTACCATTCATATTCAGTCTCTCATTCATCACTTTCATAAGGAGCAGTAACCATGTTTGAGCAAAGTAAATACAATATACAAATATTCATCTATCCATCTATCTATATCTATATCTATATATATCTATATCTATATATATCTATATATATCTATATATATCTATATATATCTATATATCTATCTATATCTATCTATATCTCTCTATATCTCTCTCTCTCTCTCTCTCTCTCTCTCTCTCTCTCTCTCTCTCTCTCTCTCTCTCTCTCTCTCTCTATATATATATATATATATATATATATATATATATATATATATATATATATATATATATATATATATATATAAACTTAACAAGGCCAAAGAGAGACAAAAACTGTACATGTATTTTACTCAACAGTCATATAAATTTAGTAACTATGGCATTTTCTTGTGTCTTGGTAGTTGATTGCTATACTTTGAGAATGATGTCATTAAATATTGCTACTACAACATTGAAATTTAATTAAAGAATTGGTGAAAGTAAGAAGTTTTTGTTAGGACAGAAATTATACTAGTAGTTTGCTAAAATCTACATTGTTTGCTCAGGTAACATAACATAGTATAGGTTTGAAGATTTATTGTTGTATTCTGGTTAGTATCATAGGTATCTGTTTAACATGTTTACTATTGTTTAACCAGCCTGTGCACCTGGATTTCAATTAGATAGGATCATATAAGTTAATACTATATTGTAAGTACATAGGAGTCTCATTATTTGCAAAATGGATATAGAAATATTGTCATTGATATCTTTCCAGTGAGTTTTTTTATATTTATGTTGCACAAGTATTAATACTCATCTTTCTATTTTGTGTGGAGATGTTGTAGGAGTGTATTAACCCCTTGCCGCCGGGTGACGGCGATACGCGTGTAAACAAATCGCTCGAAAGGTGGCGTGCGGCCAAACCAGCCGGCGGCGCGCCAAAGCGCGGCGAGCCGCCTTTGTTTGCCAGAGCGTAGAGTTTTATTTTCCTTTTGTACACCCGGCGTCATTGGGTTAAAGAATTCCCTTTCATCTTTTTTCAGACTCGATGTGTGCTAAAATATGACCACAGCAACTGTTGCCTTAAAGTGAAAGTCACAGATGATGTTATGGTGAGTAATAGATATCACTTGCAACTTGAACAGAAATAATCAGTAGCATTGTTTATGTGCTCTTTGGATACTAGAAATAATTTTTTTTTTATACTAATTGTGTTTAGTTTTTTATTTGAAAATGTATTTAACATATTTTGTATAGCTATACCTTGTATGGTGTAGGAATATATTTCAGTTATGAAAAATATCAAAATGTTTTGTTGGTAGCTAAATAGTACATATTTTGAACTCTGAATGGTGAATATAAAGAGCAAATTTGTTATATTTCATAAGTCGAGTTAGTTCATATTCTCAAAATCCATATAGATAATTTTAAAAATAATATTTACCCCTTGTCTTAAAGATTCACCAAATTAGTTTTATCCCTGAAGAAAATAACTATTGCTGCAAAAATTAAATATGAAATTGCTTAAGATTTTCAGTGTATAGGCCTTAAAAGAGACTATCCTCCTGCCTTTTCAGTGCGTCCAGTATAAGACCGACAGCCAACAGGAGCTGAAGAAATTAGAGAAGCTGTTGAGCAGTCTGATGAAACACATGGCATCCGACCAGAGATAACTTAGCTCTTTGCTGTAGAGGTTCAAAGTTTTCCAGTCATGTTTTCCCTTGCAATTTACTCTTTGTTAGTGTGATTATGTAATGTTTTATATGACAGATATTCAGTTTTTTTTTTGTTTTGTTTTTTTCTTTTCATCTATCCATTGAAGCATGTGACATGACACCAGCTTCCATAAGGATCATATTTTTTGTTTCTTTTTCTTTTTTGAAGGGAATTCTTCATGGATATCTCAAAAAGGATAAAAAATGTTAAACTTTAATAAAGATACTCTTTATATTATACATAGCATTTTCATTATACAAATCCAGACATTAGATGTTCTCCAGAGAAAGAAAAGACAATGATAATATAAGCTTTCCTTAGTCCCATATGATTCAAACTAGGAAAGAGAAAAACAAACTCCATGTAATGTTTGGCAACAATGACTCAAAATATCACAGTAAAATAACACTTTAAGATTTTACTTTGCTCAGAAAGTGTTTAGAAACGCTCAAGGAATTTCAAAAAAGATCCACCAAGTTCAGTCGAAGAGAAACTGTCCTCCTGACTTGGTTTCTTTGGATACTGTTATCCTCATTACCTTTTCTTCTTGTTTATTTCATGCTTGTGTTTTTCTTCTTTTCCTTCCTTTCTGTCTGTCTCTCTCTCTCTCTCTCTCTCCCTCTCTCTCTTCAGTATTTTGTTTTTTTACTTCCACTCATTCTTTTCTTTTCTTTTCTTTTTTTCTTCTTCCTTTCTTCCATTTCCTCTTTTCTTGCTTCTTCTTTTACCCACTTCTCTGACCAAATCAGTCCATTTTGCATTCTGACTCCAAACTGAAGTCCAATAGTTCTAAACTGGAATTTTCTCCCTTCAGCACTTATATACAGATGTCTAATATGATGTGTATTAGTTACACACACTCAATTATTGACATTCATTCATTAAATCTTGTTCTTCCTTTCATTTTGCGTTATTGTTCTTTCTTGTTCACCCCTTTAATCTTTTAGATTCTTCTTTGTTTCTAAAGAAAAAAAAAATATATATATATACATATATAACACATTATAATGGCTTTGTAACTTAATAATTCTGTAACATCATGAAAAAAAAAAAAAATATATGAATTTGAATATACAGATACCTTCTTTTTTTTTTTTCTTTTTTTTTTTTTACATATATCACTACATCCCTACTTTTTTTTCTCTCTAACTACAACGCATACCAAACCCATAAGTTTTTAATAATAAAGAATATTCTTTTTATTTACATATATACTTAAATATAAAAATAGGTTAAACACATATGTGAATGTAGATTAAAGGCTTTCTATACATAATATGAAAGGAGAAAAATCTTACTTAATATATAACCCTACCATATATTGCAACAAACTCTCCATTCCGAACATGTATAATCATTAAATTGATATAAGTCTATAAACATTTGTTAAAAAATAATAATAATAATAATCTTAGAGAATTTATAGAAGCAAAGAAATTGAAAATACACTTATTTTTCTACTCTGCTAAGTCTAATATAAGAAGCACTTGGTCCTAACAAACAACAAAATATGTGACTTAGAGTTTGCTCAGCGGAGACTTTGACACCGAATCTTCATCCTTGTCACTGTCAAACATTTCACTGAAGCCTTCATCAAACGCAGCCTGAAGCACCTCTTCCACTGTGTTCACAAGTACTACTTCGATTTCATTCTGTTATGGAAGATAATTTGGTTTTGTGAAATTATTACTATATGATTATTTGATCTTCATTCTACTGAGAAAATGTTTTATGCAAATACAAATTAAAAAATACTCAGGCTTTTCCTTATTGATTTCCACAAAACATTTTTGTTTGCTTGTTTTACATACTGATTAATCCTCACTGCAAATAAATATCAACTCTGGAAAAAAAATATATATCTATAAATCATTCTTTTTCACAAACAAAATGCCGATGGGGAGACGAGAAAGATTTTTGACTTTCCTGAACCTACCAAGACTGAGTTTGGAATATCAGCGAGGTCCTTCTTGTTGGCAGCAGGAAGCACCAGCGTGGTAAGCCCTGCCCTGTGTGCAGCCATCACCTTTTCTTTAATACCGCCAACCTGAAATTTATGGCTTTTATGTACGTGTTTTTTTTTTCTGTTGAATTACTTTTTCTTTGGATTGAAAGATAGATAAACCTAATATAAAGATTGTAGGACATAAAAACCTAATATAAATATAAAATCAAATCTACAGTATATAGATAGTTTCTATAAAAAATATTGAATTCCTTAGAGTACAAATTAATAGCATCAAATTTTACAAGTGCTTTCTATCTTTCTAGTAGTTTATTACATTACCAAATTGAGTTTTGTCTATACAGCCAAACATGGATCAGTGAAAAACAGAAAAGGTATTGCCATTCAATATAATATTACCAAGTCTACAAAGATAAAACAATTATGACCATGTTTATGAAATATTCACACGAACCATAACAAGCAAGAAAAGAAAATCTAACGCTAAAAGGAAAAGAATTACTTATTAATGGCAACTACTACTACTACAACTTGGCAAATAAAACAGATCTCTGCAGTAAAGCTCAAAGATATCCATTCAACACAAAATAAGCCACAAAAATTCATAAAAACTTTAAAAGGTGAAAATTAAAAGAAAACAATGAAGTTCATAATCTGTTCTTCAAAACTCAGACTTCGAAAAAGGTAAAAAAAAGAATCCCTACCAATGCCGTAATAGCCAACAAAACTACTATATCCACCACCAGCTCACCGGCAAGACAACCCCATTGAGGGTGATCTCCCCTGTCATGGCTACATCAGGCCGGACACAGCGCTGGGACAGGAGCGAGACGAGAACAGTAAGGATGGTAACTCCGGCCGAGGGTCCGTCCTTGCTAATGGCCCCTGCTGGGAAGTGCATGTGGATTTCTCCGTCTTTCATGAAGTCCTTTTCCAATCCAATCTGGGTTGAAAGAAGTACATGTGAAGTGGTTATTACATGTTCAGTGATGTGGACTAATACAAAATTGTGATCATAATAAAGATGCTATTAATCATGATTTCAAAAATAACACTAAAAATACTAATGTCTTGTGGAAACAATCTGAATGCAGCACAGAAAGGTAGAAAATGAAGATGGCCTAGGAATGCTACAGAATTCTCACCAGAAAAGAATGCTGCCTGACCCATGACATGGCAATCTTGGCTGACTCTTGCATGACAGAACCCAGCTGACCAGTGAGAGTGAGTCCACCATCTCCCCCAGTGCGCGATGCTTCCACAACCATGACCTCACCACCCACAGGGGTCCAAGCCAGGCCCACTGCTACCCCGGGCACACTCACCCTTCCTGATAGCCCACTTTGGAATATAGGGGGCTGAGTGAAGAAAAAAAAGAAATTACTTTCTTTTTCCATTATCATTTTACATATCTGCCAGAGTATATGTAGCGTTGCTTGTTCATAATTCTCACTTTCTCCCTCCTCTCTTAATTATCCTCTTCAATTTAGTATTGCAAGGAATCAAAAATCCTCCCACAGCAAAACTTACTCCCAGGACATCATGGATCATCTTTGCATCCACTTGCACAGGAAGGTCCAAATACTCCTTCAAATGGGTCAGGTTAATGAGTGGCGACTGATGGTATGCTTGCTCTCCAGCTGTCGGACCTCCTTCTTTATGTGGTTCCCCCTGTGGTGTTCCATCTCCCTTTTCCTCGGCCTCAGCTACCACCATGTCTGCCTTGACTCCTTCATCACCAATGGCTGTTTTAGGGTTTGAGAATTTACCACCAACTTTGTAAATGGTTTACACCTTATTCATGCAATTCTTTATACAGTTTATCTTTACTTGAAAAAGAAGTTGGACATTTAAAGGGTCATTTCTTGCTTGTACATAGTATTTATTAGTATACTTTCATAATATATCTCACTGCCTGCACAAGTTCTTTATTACCTGACTCCCTGCTTGTATGAGTCACTCAAAAAGTGGATTCCCTGCTTGTATAAGTTACTCCTTTGCTTACCATACCACAGGAATACTCAGAAATTATCAGAAATACCTTGGTCCTCTGGTTTGGCCTCAGCAACTTGTACAGCAACAGCTCTGCAAAGTGCTCCTATTTTCCTCTCCAGCGTTCTAACACCTGCTTCCCGAGTGTATTCCCCAACTGCAGAGTAAAGAATCATATAATCTATTTTAAGAAACACTAATCGATGATGCTTAAATAACCCAAAACATGTGATCTAATTTGAGAGTATCATATCAAGAGAAACAAAACAGTTAAGTAAAACGATCTAAAGTTTTGCCTTCAATTTTGGTTCAATAATAACACTTACTGACTATTGCAATTGATTCCGGAGGCACCTGCATAATATCAGGCGTAAGACCATGCTCTCGTAATTGCTTGGGTAACAAGTGCAGCTGACCAATCATAATCTTCTCTTCCTTTAAAGAGAATTCAATTTTCATAATGTAAAATATGTATACACAATTTAGTGAAATTGTTGAAGCAACATTTATGAATGTTGCCATTTCATATGTGGTAAAATATATACAATATATAAAAATTTCACAACTACAAATTGTTTTTCATATTATCATTGTTTGCCCTGATAATCATCTCCCTAGTGATTGGGCTTCTTAGTACAAAGACTTCAGTTCATATTACTGAAGCAAAGGGGAAAAAAATGCACAAAGATTCCTCCGTCTTACCTGAGTGTATCCTGGAACATGAATCACCTCCATCCTGTCCATCAAAGGTGTTGGAATTGATGACAATGTGTTGGCAGTGGCAACAAACAGCACCTATGTAGGATACAGTAAAAGAACTAAAGACATAAATGACACACTGATTATTCATTACTTTCCATAACTAATAAAAAAATAAAAAAAATCCCCAAACATTGCAGAACTTAAGAATTTTTCCACTGTCAAAACATCCTCCTAAACAAACAAAAAGTAAACATCCCATACTCGTTCCACCAAATGAACACAGTCAATAACCCTTTTCTTGCCTTCCGAAACCGACCTGCGACAGATCAAATGGCAGGCCGAGGTAAGTGTCCGTGAAGGCAAAATTCTGCTCGGGATCCAAGACCTCCAAGAGAGCAGCTCCTGGGTCTCCGTGGATGCCTGTCCCTAGCTTGTCTACCTCGTCAAGAAGCAGCACAGGATTCTTGGCCTGTGGAGTTGTGAAAAGTAAAGACAGAGATAAATATAAATACAGACATACAGAAAGATACACAGGTAGAGGTAGGTAGGTTGTGTGTGTGTGTGTGTGTGTGTGTGTGTGTGTGTGTGTGTGTGTGTGTGTGTGTGTGTGTGTGTGTGTGTGTGTGTGTGTGTGTGTGTGTGTGTGTGTGTGTGTGTGTGTGTGTGTGACTGTTAAGGCATAACTCTTTGCAAATATTATGGGTAGCATTTTTACCTCATAAAGTATTTCAATAGGATGGATCTCCTTGACACAGACTGTACAGTACAGGAATCTCAAGAAAGAATCAAAGACAAACCTTGACATTTCTGAGAGCCTGAATCACTCTTCCAGGCATGGCTCCTATATAGGTTCTTCTGTGCCCACGAATATCATGCTGATCGCTTATGCCACCTGTTCAAGAATTTTTTTATTAGTACAATAACTCTAAAATAAAATAATCTTCAACTACACTTAGCAAATCACAGTAAATTTTTAAAAGTATTTGCATTTCTATTTCCAAATTCTATGGCAATTATCAAAACCAGTCTCAGTGTATTGCTACCCTAAGCTAACAAAAGGACCTCATACTCTGCCTTACCTAGTGATATCCTCTGATAAGGGCGTCCAAGCGTTGTTGCTATAGATTTGGCTATGCTCGTCTTCCCAACTCCTGGAGGCCCTACGAAGCACAAGATGGGTCCTTTGAGATCACCACGGAGCTGTCTGACAGCAAGGTACTCCAACACTCGGCGTTTAACCTGAAAAAAATTTGGAAATTTGGTATTATGTCTGCCAACATGCAAAATACAACTGAAAACCAATTTCCATTTCCTACTACTATGGTAAATTTAGACAAATCATTAATTCCAACTGATAATCTTCAGTAGAGAATGTCTTTAATGTCAGAAAAGAAAGAAAAAAGAAAAATCTTTCATAAGGAACTTTTTTCTTTTCTCTTTACACTACCTTCTCCATCCCATAGTGATCAGCATCCATGTCTGCTCGTGCTTTGCTGATGTTACAGGTCTCTTTGACTGTGGCAGACCAAGGCAAGTCCACCATGAGCTCCAGGTAGTTCCTCGTCATAGAATACTCTGGCATGTGGGGAGCCATGCGTTTCAAGCGGCCCAGCTCTTTCAGCGCTGCCTACATGGGGGACGAACACAGGTTATTGTTGACTTTGAATAATGAAAAAGAAAGATGAATGAAGGGGGAGGAGAATAAGGAAGAACACAGTAATTTCAAATGACATGGTGTGTGTATTTCACATTCTGACATTGATAAACTGATATGAATGCTTGAATTAAATACAGTTTGATAGTTACATCAAGTATCCATGCATTAAGTACACAAATGGGTAGATCCTTAACCCATTCGCGCCGGGTAAAAATGAACAAAAAAATGGGGGAAAATGCCGTGCTCAATTTTTATACTTTTTGTGATTTTTTTTCTACACTAGATGGCTCTGCCTTACCTGATTTCATTTGGCGGTAAAATGTATTTTTACTATTACAGTGAATATTGATGGTTATTTTTATTATAAACATTATAATTACTATAATGTTAGTAACGGCAAAATAAGATAACGTATAATATTTTCGTAAATTAAAGAAAAGGGTAAACAGGCGAGACAGGCAGTACAAGTACAAGTGCAGCCATCTATGTGTGAAAACAATTAAACAAGTAAACTCACAGTGGGCCCGTCCCATATACATGACACCCGGCATGAATGGGTTAAGTCAGCATTATTTTTAAAAAGGATAATTAAAGCAAATGTAAATCATTAATATGAATGAATAAATGGTATATAAGGAGAAAAAATAATTCATGATTCCTGCTGAAATTATCATGATATCATTATATTTTCATTTGTATCTCTAAGAATTTCTGATCACTCTTTCCCTTTCTCATTCCTATACCGAAAGCCTGACTACCCTATAACACCATATACAGGAGAGGTTTTCTTTTTTCCTTTACCTGTCTTAGCCTTTCCTCACTGTCTTCCTGGATTTATTCAATAATTACCTATCCAATCTACCCACCTTACTTTATGATCCTTAGTCCTCTTTCCTTCCATTCCGTCCCTTCCTACCACACCTCTTTCACCCCCCCCCCCCCCCCCCGCCTTGAAATTCAGTTCCGGCCATCAACCCATGAACACCATACCTTCCTCGCTTCATCAGGCATGTTCGCCTCCTTGATCTTTGCCTCAAACTCCGCAATACCGTCTTCTCCATCGTCGTCCAGCTCAGGGTCCGGCGACAGGTTCCTCCCCCCTCTGCTGATTTTGACGATCTGGTTCTCCTTGTTGTTTGTTTCATCTCCCGCTGCTTCACGCACATCCTAAAGAGAAAGCATTTGAAGGAGAGTCCAGCAACAGTGGTATCTGAGAGCGTCCAGTATGTAAAGTGAATGATAGGGAGAGAAACTGTGCAGAGGTCTAGGTGGGCATAATAAATACCGATAAAATTCTAATTTTAATTTGCATTACATATGTAACCTGGTGTCATCATCTTTTATGGCTAAAATGCCAAAAATATATATCTCTAAGTTTGTAAAAATGTTGAAAGATCTGTTACAAAGATCATTATAATAATAATAAAAAATGAATTAATTATTTAACTAAAAATAATAGTAGTTATAATAATGATACTAATAGCAATAATAATAATAATAACAGTAACAACAACGACAACGGCAACAATAATAACAATAATAAAAAATAAAAATAATAATAAAGATTAATAATAACAATAATAATAATAATAATAATAACAATAATAATAATAATAATAATAATAATAATAATAATAACAATAATAATAATAACAATAATAACAATAATAATAACAATAACATTTACAATAACATATGACATTGACAGTAATAATAATAATAATAATAATAAAATCATAAACCTCCAGATTCACACCTTTAGTCTTTGAATATGCCTGAGTAGGAGAGGTAGTGTCACCCTGATTCTAGTTGCAATATCCACGGCATCCAGCACCTGCAACCTCTCGGGCAATGTTGCTTTTACCAAGGCTGCAACAACATCTGCTAGATGACGGCTCGGAACCCTGTCCACAAGCTCCTGCAAAGTCATATCAACATTGCAATGATGGAATTTATTTAAGACTGAAATGTGGAGATAAAATACATAATGGATATACACACTATATGTTTAAAACTGAAATGTGGAGATGAAATATATAATGCATATATATATATACTGTACATCATTTATAACTGGAATCCCACAGGAAATATATCATCTATGTATCTAAATATAAAGTTATTAATATAAAACTTTGTCAATGAGATACCATCTATATAGTCTTTACCTTCAGTTTGGCAACGGCTGGCACAGATACATCAAGAAGTTCAATCAACTTGCGAGCGGCTTCCTTGAATTCTGAAATGAGCTCGGCAAGTTGCGTGTCATCCCCTGCAATCCAATAAAGTAAATCTTAATTCCCAAATAAAAAGGAAACAGTAAAAGATATGCCTTTTTTTTTTCGCGTAAATCAGATTCCGTTTACCTACGACACCAAACGTATCTTTCTCAACAGCTCCCTCCGTTCCTCAACCCCTAGACCCTCTTCCTCTCTACCTTCACTGCTGATCTCTTTGATGTCATCGAGTTGCGTCACGGCACCCACAGGATAGGGGTGCTCCTGGATGATGGAGTCCAAGCGAAACCTGCAGATCCCTGTTACCAGCAGAGTGTACGCGGGACGAGGCCAGTTGGTGCCGGTGACTTGAACCACAACTCCTGCAGTGCCGATGTCATGCAGGTTCTTTAAGCTTTTATCCTGGTTGGGTAATGAAAGGAGGTCGTGAATGAATTACTGAAAAGGGGGGAATTTTAGATCGTTTACAGGAGGGTAAAGGCGTGATTGAATAATAATAATAATAATAATAATAATAATAATAATAATAATAATAATAATAATAATAATAATAATAATAATAATAATAATAATAATAATAATAATAATAATAATAATAATAATAATAATAATAATAATAATAATAATAATAATAATAATAATAATAATAATAATAATAATAATAATAATAATAATAATAATAATAATAATAATAATAATAATAATAATAATAATAATAATAATAATAATAATAATAATAATAATAATAATAATAATAATAATAATAATAATAATAATAATAATAATAATAATAATAATAATAATAATAATAATAATAATAATAATAATAATAATAATAATAATAATAATAATAATAATAATAATAATAATAATAATAATAATAATAATAATAATAATAATAATAATAATAATAATAATAATAATAATAATAATAATAATAATAATAATAATAATAATAATAATAATAATAATAATAATAATAATAATAATAATAATAATAATAATAATAATAATAATAATAATAATAATAATAATAATAATAATAATAATAATAATAATAATAATAATAATAATAATAATAATAATAATAATAATAATAATAATAATAATAATAATAATAATAATAATAATAATAATAATAATAATAATAATAATAATAATAATAATAATAATAATAATAATAATAATAATAATAATAATAATAATAATAATAATAATAATAATAATAATAATAATAATAATAATAATAATAATAATAATAATAATAATAATAATAATAATAATAATAATAATAATAATAATAATAATAATAATAATAATAATAATAATAATAATAATAATAATAATAATAATAATAATAATAATAATAATAATAATAATAATAATAATAATAATAATAATAATAATAATAATAATAATAATAATAATAATAATAATAATAATAATAATAATAATAATAATAATAATAATAATAATAATAATAATAATAATAATAATAATAATAATAATAATAATAATAATAATAATAATAATAATAATAATAATAATAATAATAATAATAATAATAATAATAATAATAATAATAATAATAATAATAATAATAATAATAATAATAATAATAATAATAATAATAATAATAATAATAATAATAATAATAATAATAATAATAATAATAATAATAATAATAATAATAATAATAATAATAATAATAATAATAATAATAATAATAATAATAATAATAATAATAATAATAATAATAATAATAATAATAATAATAATAATAATAATAATAATAATAATAATAATAATAATAATAATAATAATAATAATAATAATAATAATAATAATAATAATAATAATAATAATAATAATAATAATAATAATAATAATAATAATAATAATAATAATAATAATAATAATAATAATAATAATAATAATAATAATAATAATAATAATAATAATAATAATAATAATAATAATAATAATAATAATAATAATAATAATAATAATAATAATAATAATAATAATAATAATAATAATAATAATAATAATAATAATAATAATAATAATAATAATAATAATAATAATAATAATAATAATAATAATAATAATAATAATAATAATAATAATAATAATAATAATAATAATAATAATAATAATAATAATAATAATAATAATAATAATAATAATAATAAAATCATAAACCTCCAGATTCACACCTTTAGTCTTTGAATATGCCTGATAGGAGAGGTAGTGTCACCCTGATTCTAGTTGCAATATCCACGGCATCCAGCACCTGCAACCTCTCGGGCAATGTTGCTTTTACCAAGGCTGCAACAACATCTGCTAGATGACGGCTCGGAACCCTGTCCACAAGCTCCTGCAAAGTCATATCAACATTGCATGATGGAATTTATTTAAGACTGAAATGTGGAGATAAAATACATAATGGA